CTCTTTACAAATTAACGCTTTATGAATAGGATGAAATCCCGAGGAAAACCTCGTCTAGGTGTAGTGTTACGTGCTTGTTTTTACCTGCCATTGTACTTCGTCTACAAGGATGTGGCACACAACAATGGTATATCTGTCAGCGAGGCTCCGCTCATATCGGCACACAAGACATAAAACGGGTGATGGGTCCGTGTAAAGCGCAGATGTGAAGCTATGACGCCTGGAATGTTAATAGTTTGGACATTCCTTTTTATATGAATTAGCATATTCCCCAAAACAAAGAACAATGCGTCAAGATGCTGCAGAATTTCTGCTGTGTTATGTTTTTTTCTTGATGTACTTATCAGCGAATTGTGTTTAGTTTTGGTGTTACCTCGCCGTGAAGAATCTCAAAATTGTTGCTGCGTCGTTCAGCAACAGTAACTCTCTCAGGCTGGTGTAACCATAGCTTTCAAACCTTTCTTTTCCCGAAGGAATTCTCTTGCACAATGGTTCCCAATACTCTACAGATACGCGTCGACTAAAGCAAATATGATGGGTAGATCGTTGCTCGTGTTTTCTGTTCCTGGTTTACTTCGTCCAGACTCGATCATGTTCAGCCCACTTTGGTATAACCAGAACATACTGACTGCGGAATAAAAATTCAACCACTCGCTGACTCTAAAATGGTTGTTATTAAGAAACCTAAATTACCAGGTGTAGGTGGTTGCGAGAGACATGCGAGTGTGATTGAATAAATTTGCTTTTACGCTGTAATCTGCAACATTACCGTTATAAATAGACATAGTATAGCTTACCGCGTTACATAACAGAAATGACCAGAAATGGCCCCATGTCAGTCATTCCGGATGATGTTGTCCAGTCAGTCCGTCACTGAAAGGGCGTGATCTCTCAGCAAACACTTGGCGTCGATAGTACCAGTGATGTGACCAGCTGAATTCTTTCAAGGAGGACACGATAGTTAGGTAACTATAGCATGGGGAGTTGGCGGAATGTTCAGTCGTGCTGAGTGTATAGTCTTGTTAGTACGTTTGTTTAAACTTATTTATTCCACACAGTGTACCCAACACGCCAAGTGCTGAATTTAGTGACATCAATTGTAAGCCTAGATAGAAGACAAGATAAGTCAAGGAGAGTGATGAAAGAACGTACAAAGGGTGACGGGGTTAGGGAGGTTTTTATAGGAGGTCAAAGGTAGAGACAGGGGTATCTTGCTAGGGGAGGGAATGAGAGAAAAAGAGATGGGGAGAGGATAAAATGGATGCTGTATAGTACTCGGGGCTGCTGGACCCGTGGGGTTGGACCTGGGCCAGAGTGGTCTCAATCCATCAAGGCATGTCGTCAGAGACGACTAACGGGATCGAGTGGTCCGGCTCGCAGGCTTGGCTGATGCCTGTCATCGTATCCTAATTTCGTTGATCGATGCGCATCAAGTTAATTACTGGATCCAGCCACGAATAGTTACCGAATGCCGCCGTGTCAGGTGCGTGGAATGTTGCTGAACAACAAACAAACAACTGTAAACAGTTAAAGGCGCTTGTAGGAGGGATACCGTGACAGTTCCATTAATGGGCATTGTATGCAGGAGTTGAACATTACAGGGTGTGGTTCAACTGGGAGGAAAAGGTCAGGGTCGGGAGTTGGGTATAGAGGGTACTTGTCTTGACCTTCTCCAGCCACCTAGTGGTCAGCGTTGATTTACGTAGCCCTACATTGTGTGAAGAACCGAGTGTGGGGGTTGAGTGTCAACACTAGCCCTTTATGTTGTACCTGTCCTGGATGATAAACTGGGTGGCCCGGGTGAATTCATGGTCAACGGGGATCAGATCAGAGGGCCTCCAAGGACCGTTGATATTTTGGCTTACAAGACGGACCGCTTGAAGCGTTCACTATTGTCATGGTTGTGTGTCGGTCAACACCATTGCGCTTACTCTGGGGGCAGAAATATATAACTGCTTGACAACGTTGGGTGTTGATGGTGCGTGTATGATGTTTTACGGAGAAACTATTTGAAATATCAGATCCATCGTTTAGTACTTTCATCAAAGGACGAGAAGGTTGCCTGACAAAGGTATCACTTTGTTAAATAATAGTAGAAGCGACAACATCCTGTCCTTAATCAAAAGCAATCTCATCTAAAAGCACAACTACACAAGGATCCAATAGTCATTTAATTACAGAAGAACATCTACTGATCTTTTACTTACACAAGACACTACCCACACAAGGACATCTACTGGGCTTTTATTTACACAGGAACATTTACTTTTCTTATTTAAGCAAGAACATCTACTGGTCTCCTATTTACACAAGGTCATCTACTGGTCTCCTATTTACACAAGGACATCTACTGATTTACTACTTGCACAATAATATCTACTAGTCTTTTTCTTACACAAGAACACGACATCACATGAACGAACCAGGCTATTACCTGGGTTTTCATAAACCTCATGAATAGACCACTATGTTGGCAATACTTTGCATAATGAGAAATTCCTCAGGATAACACGGTTTTGTTCAGCCTGCCCGGCAGATTGTAACGAAAGCCCCTGCATCCGCATCTCACCCCTTTAAGCCCTCCATCCTGAAGTGAACACACACGATCCTTCTGTCTCACGGCATGGGGTAAAAAGAGTTTTCTCTGTCTCCACAGCACTTCAACTTAGACAAACTCCACATGTTTAAAAGGCGATGCACTGCGCCTGAACTCTGTGTCTTGCATGCAACCTCTATTCACTAAATAAACACTTTCTGAGAACAAGAAATAACCTATTATAGTTTTCCATACTGTTGTTTAAGACTTTTATAAAACTTGGTTGGTTTTGTATTCTGCCTGGCTTACTTACTGTGGACGTGTTGTCGCGATATGTCAACGACACTTCTCTTTTTCTGGGACTGCTCGTGTCTTTTCCTGGCACTGTCAAATATTTGTCTGCACTATGAAATGATAGAACCATTCCCAGAATCACATGTTAAGGGTTCATCATTTTCTTTTCGTGGTAACTGCTAGAAAAACAGACAAGGGATTATGTTATAGCATGCTACCAACATGGGTGTGTGGGTGTCTGATTTCTGTAAAACAGACCGGATGGATCATTACTCATTTGTTAAATGAATGAAGACTCGCAGAAGACATACTTGTTTGCTTGTGTTTACGTAATAACTGACATGACAGCCTTCAGCTGTCCATACAGTGGTCCTATGTGCAGGTTCATCAGGCTCCACATGTCCAATACAGTGGTCCGCTATGCAGGTTCATCAGCCCTCACATGTTCATTCAGTGGTCCTCTATGCAGGTTCATCAGCCCTCACATGTTCATACAGTGGTCCTCTGAGCAGGTTCATCAGATCTCACATGCTCATACAGTGGTCCTCTATGCTGGTTCATCAGCCCCACATGTTCATGCAGTGGTCCTCTGAGCAGGTTCAGCAGGCATGTCCATACAGTGGTCTTCTTTATAGGTTTTAATTGCACAGATATCACATGACATGCGTGACAGTCCACACAACCTTAACTCGCATGTCTAGAACAAACCATTAATATAATGATTTTCTACGCAGATAGATGAGCCCACGTAACATATGTTACAACTGTAGTAAAGTATATGTGTCATTAGAAAATGTGACACACGACTTCAATACAGAGTTGATATTGACACGCCGAACGTCCACGTCCCGTGTACACTGCCAACAGGTACATTTATGCAACGTAGTGTTACCGGAATATATTGCCTGTATATTCTTGTCGAAGGTGCAGTAAAAGTGATCACAGATTACGTTTCTAGACCTCCCGCTGAGGTCCATGGGGACATAAGTAGGGAGAAGGATATGGGAAGATCGTATACAATCTTAAGGGTAACACTTTGTGATGTCTAAAAATGTCGTATATTCTCCAACCACCAGACAATCAATACCTGAGAGACAAAGCGTGGGATCAGTTCGTAACTCTCAGAGCTTATTTCTGACAGAAGATCGATGATCGATTTTGTCACATGCGATTGCTCGTGGTAGTCACGTGACAGTTTAAGTTAATACGTGACACCCAAAGTAATGGGGCTATAATACCTAACAACACATACCGTCATTCCCATGTCCATTGACAGCAGAAGCTGTTCATGAAAGACAAGCCTCTTGTCTGTGTCGCTGTTTCAATGGACAGGGAAGACACTTTCAACATTTTCTATCGGGTCTGGGGCATTTACGTCAGTGCCCGGTCGATGCGTTTATCTGTGTGGTAATGGGCCGGCTCACACGTCAGACTGTATAAGATTACCTTCAGGTCAGTCGAATAAACACGGGTATGGATTTCAACTTGATGATTCTTTCAAACACTCTGATCTGACAGCCATTTTGTCAGTTTTCAACGACATAGAGTCACACGTAAGGTGAGATCTTGTATATTCAATTAGGTTTAATATTACGAAACATCTCCAAATATCTCGGTTCCAGTTGAGAAAGAATTATTTTCGATAGTTCGATGCCGTTATTTTTTCATACTGACATGTTGTCCTGATACAACAAATAAAGTGTGGATAAAAAATGACAGCGACTTGGCACGTCATTCATCAGATCCCAGTTTGATTCCCAGAGTGAGACCTAGTTTTAGGTCCTATTAGTTTACCTGTGCCTACAATCTCTACCATATTATAAACCCCGCAGTGACTTTGTAGGTGACTTATATCAATCTCGCGTAACTTTCCCTAATACCATAATCAAAGTCTTTCTGCTACACTAAGTTCCATTGCAGTAATTACTAGTATCTTAATCTACAGCAATGTCCCAATTACACAACCCAAGACTGTGGTATTAGTCTGTAGACTACAACAAAGGTGTGGGGTATACTGCGATAAGCCGGTAACAGCGGCCAGTAATGATTCGTCCCACATGGCTAAAGTTACCCGACTTGTCAGTGTAAAATGTTCTCAGCAAAGATTTCCTCAACAAATCAATAGAGAGACCGAACACATGTAATCGAACCCCGCAAATCCCGCGGTAGCTGCCAAAGCAGACGACAGGTGTGCACGAGACAAGCAGACGACATCACGAACCAATGACTGAGCCAGTTGACCACATGACTTGATGTGAATACATGCTAAGGTTACGACAGTATACTTAAGTCCAAAATGGGAAGCAAATGTTGATATGTTAAGTCCTGTGTACATTGAATCTGTGTGATGCGGCCGAGTTGAATATTGTCGCCATTCGCTGATGATCTGGTGTGACTACATGGTTTCTTCAGGCGATCATTACTACACCGTCGCGCGCGAATGAGTACAACCCTGGAACTTATGGGAGTGTGGCGGGACAAGGTATAACATAGACGAGAGAAAGAACTGTGTAACAAGGAATTTACCGTGACACTGATGTATAGTGTTTATGATGATAAGTGACCACCGCAGCCATTTAAGGTATGTAGCCAATCTCCACTCATTTAATATGGCACCTCGAATGCCCGTGTGTGGAGATGTGTATCTCTAACAGCAAATGGAATTTAGAATTCGTGATAACTGGCACCTAAAACAAATAATTATAATATTTTATATGAAAAAACTATTGACAAAGAATCCCTCTATTTGGCAATATTCGAGCGTCGTGATACTTCGTTTTTTGTACGTTTTTAGGATGTTTTGCCCCATACATATCCACAGCTCTTTAAACTCTTCTATGTACAAATACGTAGTCACTCCCAACACGGAGTCGTGTCTGGAATATCACAGATATGTACGAATTCGAGGTTGATATTTTTTCTGCCACCACATACAAGTTCATTGTGCACTTGTACCTACCTCCTAATAAATAATGCAATGTTTGATGGAAATGAAAACCGTGAAACGAAATACTCGTTGTGACGCATTCATGTAAATAACACTTGTCGTAATTGAAACACGCTGTTTTGCCATCCTGGAATTCTACTCACGCACTACACTGGTGTCAGAAACTGCAATGCTCTTGGAAAGCCTCTTCAATGCTCATTCAGATTCATGTCATGCAACCTTTGAGCTAGGTCAAGGATATGCACAATACCATGAAAATAGTGTTATTAAACTGTATAGTCCACAGCCTGAAAACATAATTAGGGTTCATTCATACCTGGCTATGTACAGCATTGTTAAGACCACCCTTTAGCTAACCCTGAATGATACAAGAAAGACGAGCTCAACCTACTAACGTTTCACGTATATTTACATATTCAAAAAGGGAACGACCATTTGATATTTTGTGGTTGTTTTAATTCCCTTTAATTGGTGAGGGAGGAGAGGAAATAGTATTTAAAAATTAGCTGAAAATGGAGTGACCATATTATTTTATATTAATATCACGCCAAAATTCAAAATGTCACCGCGAAGGCTAGAATCAGAGAGAGTGACACACTCAGTGTATTTCTTTCATGTTTCAAATAATTCAAATTCTTTAGGTGATTAATTTTTTGGTTCACATTCATTTTTTTCGAACCTGTTTGTGGACACTGCCTAGAAATAAAAGTGGGCAATGAAATTTTCAAGTTTTTTGCAAAATTGCTATCAGTAAATTCGAGAACCTTTAACAACGTCAATACTGTATTGTTTGTCAATTGTTTTCGTTCAAAGAAGGAATTTGTTAGACATAGTGCAAAAAATGTCAACGTATATTTATCATCAATATTATACAATGGCAAAATTTGTTTATGATTCACACGAAATTGATTTTATCAAACAGCTTTGTGTATATTCATCGGATAAAACCGAGAACAAAGAGATCGTTGTCAAGCCCTTGACATATCTATTTAAGGCGTTTGTTTATTGGCTGTTCAAATCAATATGTTCATCCAGGCATAGATTAACCTGGTTCTTTTCAGTAGGGCAGGATAACATTCTGTTCCTGAATAGTGCCGAGAGCCTTTTGGTATATCTACATATGCACATAATCTCGAATAGTATATTCCGTACTTCACATTCCCTTCTTGAAAGGTTTATATAACACACAGGCAACAAACACGGCTGTGTCGAACTCATTTGGTCATGGGGGTATTTGGAAGTTTGTCAAAGTCTTCAAGGAGCTGATTTGATATGTATGAAATAGGTTCAGAATGCAACAGATGTTACATGGTATCGAACAGTGCAGGTATTTTATGAGATTTGCAGTTTGACCATATTTTGTACTTTGAAAACAGCTCGACCCGTTTCTTTTATTTTGATTTAAAACGAAAGTGTCTGATCTTTCACTGATTTAATTATGTTTTTGTTTTTTTGTTTTTTTGTTTTGTTTTGTTTTTGTTTGTTTTGTTTGTTTGGGTTTTTTGGGGGGTGTTTAATTTTTTTGGGGTCATTTTGGAGGGGGGAGCGCGTGTGTGTGTGTGTGCTTTTGTGTTTGTTATGTGCATGTGTATTTTTATTTCAATTGTGTCTAATACGTGTATTTCATACAGTTGGGCAAAATGATTATCTTAATGACCTTGTGGTAATATGATGAGAAGGTGACTGATTTTAGTATAATGAGACAAAACGTTTTGTGCTTCATCAACGTGCCATCTGTTTTTAGTTCCCAGATGATGGATGACATCAAAGAACATGTCATCAAGTACTTTAATAACGAGCAAATTGAGACTGTGGTAGTAACACTTCGTGACATTTTGAACTCTTCATATTGTTAATTACTTTCCCGACCTTTTGCAAAAAAATGCTCGTATGGTTTTATTGATGTTATGTCATTGTGTATGTTGCTAGGTAACAAAAAACATGGATGACGCCACTCTCGGCTACATCATCGGCGGCTCTGTTGGGGGCGGGATCCTCATCATCAGCGTCATTGCCTGCATCATCTGCTGCTCTTGCGAGTGAGTTTCTACAAATAATCACCAGCTTCTAAAAGACCAATGAGTTTAAGTAATCCATTTAATTTATGAATAATGTTTTGCATGAAGCAATTATCAAATAATTTTCTCCTTTATCTTTAGCAAATATATGTATCAAAATATGTTTTTAAATATTTTAAATTCATTGCAAGATTAATGTACAGCAAAACCATTCGTTTAAACAGATGTTCGACAGGATCATACATCACTAGTCTTATTTGTTGGCCCACATTTAAGTTTCGTGGCACATTAGACGTCTCAGTCGGAATTATATGTCTTTTTTTTATGAAATAATCAGCATCATTAAAATATATTCGACCTCATTACATTGTGCCGGTAATGGTGCTGGTATATAAAGTAGTCAACATTCATATGTAAACAGATTTTGAGAGAATTTGTTTTATAGTAAGATATACATACGTCGCTGGCTCCAGGATGATACGATCTGGACCAAAACAGCCTTTATTGCCAAAGTATTGCGTTTAGCTATAAGTGTAGGGGTATCGAATGACCGTCTTTCCAACCAAAACCATTAGCAATGGTAGATGAAAAAGGGGTTTAGCCGTGGTGTAAAGCTGTGCATGTACCACGTAATGGAGTAAATGGCGTGGTCGGCAACCATTAGCCGTCATGACGCCTGTGTGATGATACTGAGAGCCTAAGTGTTGACATTACTACCGCAACTCTCCCTTCATTGGAATACGTTCTTTTTGAAGTGCCTTCTATATGTTGATATAAGTATGTACACTGAAGCTTATCTGGAGCTTATTAGTTGCCCCAGTTTCTGCCATCTTGTATCTTGTCATTTAGACGGTCTCCGTGGTATTTGCCAGCTCACCTGTGATGAAGGTTGGTGCCAAGGTGGTACATAGGAGTCATTGCGATAATACGTGCGGAATGTCATTCTTAGTGTAAAATATTTGTAGTAATATCAGCATAACATATATGCATATCCTTCCATTACCCTGCCATGGATGAAGTGATTACTTGAGACAGGTCATGTCATGTATTGGTAACAAAGTAGTATTGATTATCACACCTTACTCGTCATTGAATGAATCTTCTGAATGTATTTTTTACTTAACACTGAAGATTCTTTGTTGATAAATGGAAGGGCAGTTTTTTCATATAATAGGAAATGATATTTTGGTATCTTGTATATAATGCACATTACTTCTAGATAATTAGAATGTCGATATTGTTCATGTAAGCAGGAAATAACGTCTATTTCCGTGTTTTCTTGTTAAGTAAACTTCTTATCAGCAGTTATTCCACCTCATCGGGAGATTACATTGAGGGCCAAAATGGTACATTTCCGTGCAAGAAGTCTCATATTGTTTGACGGGAAAAGACTCAATTACCTGGCAGTAACTTGTCACTCGTAATGTGGCAATTATATCTAAAGACGAAATATGATTGATCCGTTAGTCTTGTATTTTTGGGTTTGTTTCCCTTTAGTGACAGTGGGGTAGCGACCCAAAACGAAAGGGTTTCGTTGGAATATGATTTATGCGGTGTGATTGCAGAACAATACAATCAATCAAATATGTTAAATAAAAAGTAAAATATATTTGGTGAAAAATGGTCACCAGACGTTGTTTTGAGGTCTTTGGGTGAAACTATGATTATGATGAGAATTACAATTCCCACAGAACCATTTAAATGTGTTTTTTATGGACTGGAAACCGAAAACGATTTTGTAAAAAATGATCCATCATCTGAGATACGCCACTATTCGGTGTGTTATATTCTGTACAGCGAGAGTAGGTCAGGTATATACTTCAGGTATACACAGAGCGACGTTAAATAATGCAGATGTTGTCGTCGAACCGTGACCGTTGACTGTTGCAGTGCACTTACATTGTTCAGCACCGGATAACCATACTAGCGTGACAAATGGCATAGTCACGACACAGAAATCAATCCAACTGTCACATCTATAGATGGCTGTGTCATAAGTGGAGAGTTGATGGAGACGTGTCAGCCATCTTTTTGTATGAAGACGAACGTGTTAAATATATGACAATAGCAACTGATAAAACTTAAATTTTTTAAAAATATTTTGCTGACCTTTTTCTCCTTCTGAGACCTGTTGGAAATGTTTAGCGCAGATGTGATCAATTATATTAACCGTGGGAATGTAATCCTTCTGTGGTCTGATGTTAAGTATGGCTATTTAGTTATCCATATAATGCTCTTAGATGTACTTCTTGTGCGGCTTGTTACATCACCATGTATTAATATCATCGGAATACTAAGTACGTACATTTAAACAGGCAGATGTCGCATACCCTCCCTGGGCGCTGAAGCCATATATAGCCGTTTGTCAACAGTTGTCAAAATTCATCAAATGTTCAACACATTTATAAAATATTTCAAATAATTGAATGTTTTTTAAATGAAGAAATATTTACTTCTGAAAGTAATCCTCAAACTCCGGGGTCAACTGTTTTGGGGGATCTTGTTAAGGTGTTCCACAAGCTCCAGGGTCAATTTTGTGCAGTGACATATGCAAATAGTGAGCATATACATGCCAGATCTATGAATTTAAAGTGTGATCATTCTGTTTATGACCCAAGATTGAGTGTGTCTCATACCTTTCCCCAAACAGACCGTGACAAACACAGAGAACTACTGAAGCTTCACAGATTGTTCCGAAATTGCTCCTATCTTATCTTCTTAGGCTGTGCTTCTGTGGTGAATCAGACCTACCCACGTCCTTAAATCTTAAACAGGTTCCCACCATTGTCATCATACGTAGGTGGGAATACACAGATATAGACGGCCAGAGTAGGTGTGCCTTCAGTCAGTCTACCAGTAACGCCAGTAGAATGTGGTAAGTGATGTGTAGGTGCCAACACTATATTTAATATTTGACACTGTAAACAGTTTCACAAAGTCACTGACGAATGTGTTGTGTATTGTAGTCTATACTGATATCATGCCGAGACAAATATCATTGTTTGATGTTCTAACACCTCACAGGTCCAAGAGGAAGAAGAAGAGACATGAGAAGCAGTTCCACCATCTTCCCTCTGACTCTGGCCATCAAAGTCAACACTCTACACTCAGTCATATTGACCCCAGGGGCCTTCCTAAGGTGGGGAATGGCTTGTGGGTTGAGGCGCCTGCAGTGTACCAGGCAGCACCCAATCAGGGGCTGTACTACGGCAGACCAAACCCCAAATATCGAGTGGAACCTGGGGTTCAGAGGTCATCTTCGGAGCTACGTTTGCAAGGTTGGTTGAAACTCAGTATACAGTAACACCTCTTATTACACCCCCGATGATCTGTTTCGTGTAGCATGTTTTCAAATAATGGTGTCGGAGAAATGTGTCTTTGTATAGTAGAATGTAGACTCAAACCTTGACTTGAACAAACAAGTTAGCCACTCCTCTCGATCTTGTCACCTACAGCTAAGAAACATTGGGGAAATTAGAGCATGTCTGACCAAGGATGCTACAAAAACACCGACCCTTTCATTAATAATTTCAAGGATAGATTATTGCAACAGCCTCCTAGCCGGTTCTCCAAAACATGGCATCAGAAGATTCCAATCAATCCAGAACAAAGCAGCCAGACTTGTTTCACTCTCTCCAAAATCAGACCATATCACCCCGATCCTCAAAGAGCTTCATTGGCAGAGAGTCAATTTCAAACTTCTCTGTCTAGCTTATCAGTGTCATTCTCATATTGCTCCAGCTTATCTCTGTGACCTCCTCCAGCCCTACATTCCATCCAGAGCGCTCCGCTCAGAATCTCAACAGCTATTCATTGCGCCCAAAGTCAAACTGTGCAGTTATGGACAACGGGCGTTTTCCCATTCAGCAGCTTATCAGTGGAACATTCTCCCTCAAGAACTACAAACTTCTCCAACCTATTCTTTTCAAGACTCAGTTGTTCCGTCAAGCATTTTCCTGAATACTCCTTTTCCTTCTTAGCGCTTTGAGCAAGATATTCATCCTGGACGTGGACTATTATTATTATAGAATGTATGAAACCAGTTGTAATCCCGATGCTAGGGTTCTAGACCAAGGGCGTGTAATCGCGTCTGGCGGAGGTTTAACGGATAAATATGTATACTGTTATCTACGCCAATTTTCGCAATTTCGTTTAATTGCCTTATATCATATGACACAGCAGCTTTGATTACACAAGGGTGAAAAGGAAAACAGTAATCTGGCCTTATGTCTTTAAGACGAATATCTTTATCCTAACGAACGGGGGTTAGTGAGCTGATAACGCTTGTGGACACCGTCGTTAATGTCGATCCTCATTGAAAATTACTGTTAAACTTCTGTTCGACCCCATCTTCGGTCTCCTTGCATTTATTTCGACTTTAGTCCGGTCGGGATGTTTGTGCACATTCAGCAAAATTGGCTGTTTTGAATTTACGTGAACAATGTTGATTACCATTTTTGGGCACTCGGAGCTCATACACAATGAAAGCATTTGCTTCAAACAGTGGTTCTATTTGTTTGAGGCTTAACAAGGAGCAAGTGTGTAGGTAACCTGAACGCAGGTCTCAGTCTCGTGTTGAAATCATAGCATGTATAGAGTATAGTCCGCCTGGGTGTAGAACTCTGTGACCCCCTCCCTGCTTCGTTCCAACACATTGTTCGGATCCCAGTGCTTGATGTGAACACTACAATACGTATTGTCAAACGCCCCGGTGTCGACGTGCATTATAACCGAAACTGAAAGCCCACAATATTCTGTTGTACAGTTTAGTATTAATTATAGTACAATACAACAGTGTTCCCAACACAATCCGCCATTGACTGTGACTCCATCAAGTAATCAAGAGATTTAAACTTTACCCATACATCCTCTCTGTGTATGCCTTTGTAGAGCAAAACCCTATAATGACATTCTCAGAGAAGAATGTAAACTTTGAATGTCAAAAGTGTTTTCGTACTGAGACGCAGAAATGCCGTCTGTTTCTGGCGAGCTGAGGCTCTGTCAACTATGTAAACCCCAAAGGGCTATGTGGTTAAGACGAATACGTTTACACATCAACATTTGGGCAGATACAAACAAACATTACGAACTGCTAAAAGATCGAGTTGAGGTGTCTCACTAATGTAGCTCCGCATGTAACGCCAATAAGCCCGATCAGCAACAAACACATACAGCCTTTTTAAAACATTACGCTGCTCTATAACAGGAAGCGTTTCTTCAAAGTCCTTTCTTGCATGCGTGGGTATGTTTTGAAAGTCGTTTATTTTAGACGTGATCACAATCGCTTTATTCATTTCGTAAACCGAAAGAAATGTTGGCAAATTGACATTTATATCGACTTAGACCTTTTCCCACGCTATCACAACAGTTTTATCTGGTTCAGAACCAAGTCCCTCAACTTTCTCCTCACACTGTATTTGTAACTGGGGAAGGGAGAGATTGTGGTCAAATTGGTATGTATTTCTTATCAACCTTTATAAAGCAAACTTCATTTTAAAGTAAATTTGCACGTGCTTTGGTAAAATGATGAGAGGTGTTTTCACCTTCAGTTCTCTATTGTTTGATGCTATTATTGTTTCGACTAATGTGTCGTCGAAGGGAAGAAAGGTTGATTGGCTTTACGTCTATTAACATAATGACATCGTTGATAATGAAGTCGGTGGTGGTATCGATGATGATGATGATGATGATGATGATGATGATTTCCACTTACAGCACACCCGCCTCCGGGCCATGCAGTATACCAGGGCAATGTGAGGATATACCACAGTCAGCAACTGGCCCCTGTCTATGAAGTGGTTGACACATCCAGAGCACCCGGTGTTATAAGTATATATGAATATAACGGTGAGTAACTAAGTCTGTAACCTAAAATGTTTGCCCTATCATCTGGTGAGATGTTAACACCGTTCGTCGATATTCTGTATAGCATGACAGAGTAAATGGTTCTATTCACAAAGAAATTGAAGCAAAGGTCCCGTTAAAGAAACCATGAGGTTTCCAGACGATGTTTTTCATGTTTGTCCTTTCACTGTTCTCAGCAATAGTTTGCTGAGTATAGCATGTTTGTGAGAGGAAATGATATTGTGTTCAACGGTATCATTTTATATAAGGTACAACAACAAAAACTCGTTGATTTCAGATTTGACACACTCGCGGTCACGCCTCATTAACCGCAACTCTGCTGAGCGCCATCACAGAGACAGCAAGAAGGTACACAGATCGCACAGTGACCTTAGTAGTCGACCCAAGGACAGGCGGGATAACTCTAAACGACATTCCGGTCATTCGCATCAGTCAAACAGTGACAAATCAAGAAAAGACCATTCCAGGCCAAGTTCAGCCGGTCACGTGAAAGTTTCGCAACAAAAGTCACAATCTTTAGATTCTTTGAGGGAAGGAGCTTATGACAATCCAGCTTTCGACAATAAAGCTCCCGTGAGAGTGCCGCCACCAACAGTTTCCCAGCCTGCTGCTACAGACAGCATGAAGCTGCAGGATAAGAACGGAATGAGCACAAGACCCCTTTATAATAAAACAGACGATGAAAAGCAAAAACCCAAACCAGTAAAGACTGAGGTTATAACACAGCATTATACGCACGAAGGGTCTGTGTATGCTGTTCCCAATAAACTTGGAATACAAAAGGACGAGGCCTATGAAAACCCAATAGTAGCCCGGATGGAAGAAATGATTATAGAAAAAACAGAGGGGTCTGCAGACTCTCGGAAAGCGAGTTCTATCAGAACAGAAATTGTACCTTCTCGTGCCAGTGAAGTCAGATCAGGTCACGTGGATCGTGCGAGCTCACATGTGGACGATGTGACGTCATCTGTTCCAGTGAACGTGTCAGACACCTCGATCCACATCACGACCGGGATGCGGGAGGTGAAACATCCTGCGACTGGCGAGAGGCTGGACTCAACTGATGGTAGTCTTCATCCCCCTCTCAGCGCCACACAGTCGGAAGATCTCGGGCCTACAGGTATGTAGTAGTTTCTTTCTCATGCTGTTTTGGAGATCTCGGACCAGCAGGTATACTCTAGTTTGTTTCTCGTGCTGTTTTGGACCTCTCGGACCAGCAGGTGAACTCTAGTTTGTTTCTCATGTTGGTGGGGAAATCTCGGACTTAAGTATACAGTCGTTTGGATCTCATGCTAGTTAGGTGATCTCGGACCAACACGTGAACATTGTATTTTGTCTCGTATTGTTTGTGAGATCTCAGTAATAAAACTAAAGGCTACAACGGTGATTTTAAAGGGAGTAATCATACAGGTCTTACGGTATTAAAACCTTCAAATATTTGACCTGGCGATCGCTTTGTGTCATTTCACCTTCAACTCTTTTCAAAAGTTTAAGTGACATTCATAATGAAGTCGTGCAAAGACATTTCCACGGAGATGAAAATACCCTCTCAAAATACCCTCACATGACTAATAGGCCCACCACGTAAATGTATATATTTGATTTATACTTGGGGAGTTTCGGGATTGTGGACAAGTTCTTCCGAGTTGCCCTCTCTGTACTATACCACCTGACACACGGTAGTTATAATAGGTTTAACTGTTTACCTTGAACGTGGATGTGGCTCAAGTAGATGAATAAGTAGACCGCGGCGCCTCTCAGCTGGTTCCGAATCACGGACCTATTGGACCCATGACTGCATTCCCTAGTCTGGGGCTGTAACGTGGAACACATCCCTAGTCTGGGGCTGTAAGCTCCTGTGGACAAAACGCTACAGTGTCAGTTCAATTCTTGAGGCTGTGTCGGCTCAGCAAGAACCCTACAAACAGATATTTTGTTTTACTGTTAGCTGTGTGATGTATCCAAACTCAGCTAACTCAGATCTATGCCCCCTGACTCTTAGTCTGTCTCACAGTCCCTGAACAACATTATTTCCCCTACAGCCTAGCCCTCCCTGCAGTGCTAAAGCCCTAAATGAACCAAGTCTAGATTTCCTCAGGTTCAGGTCTCTGAATCTCTGGTCTCCCTGGGGCTCCTTTTCACTTTAAATAGGTTTATTTGTTACAATCAAAATTATAAATATTCAGTGACTTAGTCTACCTGACTCTTTGTATCCCGACTATCGTACGCTTCTCTTTGTATCTGTTTTGTGGTAAATCGAGTTTGTCGACTTTACATATAGTATCTTGACGTAACTAAAGCTACACCAAGCAGTCGTGACATGTGTAACGTTACATTCAGAACTGACTTGTGTAACGTTGCATATAATATCTCGACATGTCTAACGTTACATTTAGTATCTCGCCATGTCTTACGTTACAATTATTATCTCGACATATCTATCGTTACATTTAGTATCTCGACATGCCTAACGTTACATTTAGTATCTCGCCATGTCTAACATTACATTTAGTATCTCGACATGCCTAACCTTACATTTAGTATCTCGCCATGTCTAACGTTACATTTAGTATCTCGACATGCCTAACCTTACATTTAGTATCTCGCCATGTCTTACGTTACAATTATTATCTCGACATATCTATCGTTACATTTAGTATCTCGACATGCCTAACCTTACATTTAGTATCTCGCCATGTCTAACGTTACAATTATTATCTCGACATATCTATCGTTACATTTAGTATCTCGACATGCCTAACCTTACATTTAGTATCTCGCAATGTCTAACTCTCCTGGCCCCACAGATCTCGACTGTAGGCCTCGCCCATGTATTTTTCGCCGAACATTATCGATCACATAATATTGATTACAGTCTGTTTATCCCAACGAGATAATTTGATCAGTGCTAAATGTATCACTACAAACATCAATATCATTATAACCAAGTCGTAACAACCGGAATGCTGACTTTCCATTTACTGGTTGATATGATGGTGAGCATTAGAAGATATCTTCACGTTAGTAGCTGGACATAAACACCGACGTTTTCAGTTGTTGTACCTACGACGGTGCGGAATGCCGATTCCAAAAGAAATTAATTGTTTTCTATATTTGATGATTATATTACATTATACAAACACTAAACAATGTCCGAGGCAAATATTGGAAATATGGTATCACGTATGCTTAGATCGGATTCCAAAACCCTTTTCACATCGACTTGACATGGGGGCACATCCCAACAAACTTACGGCATTGTTAAATATACCGATCAATGGTAAAAACATGATCTTCCTACACTGTTAGAACAGATAAATAAACTCGCCATTTCGCTGTGGAGGAAGCGTGAAGGGTATAATTTCACATTGTCTTAAAACAGTTGCAGTTGTCTCCCCTTCGTATTGGTATGTCGTGTACAGATTGGACAGACTGAGTACACACTTACACAGGCCGTAATTTAAGCGTAGGGAATTACAAGGCTGACTAAACCGACAGTTGTCCGACCACCACGCCCAGGATTCGCAAACAAATACATCAATAAATGTTGATCATCTGAGGTGGGAAGGTTACACATGATCGATGGGATTTATGGCTGTAATAAAGTGTTGTTGTTTTATCCCGGATACATCTGTGGGTTTTATGAAAGGTGTCGATTGTAGTTGTGGCTGTGAGATTCAATCAGCGATGAGACGGGCGTTTCCGAACTCGTAGAAGCGCCCAGGGCGTTATAACGAAATGTACACATGGGAAGGTGATAAAACTTCACCAATAGGTAATGAAATGTCATTCCTGAATGACAGACTGTTCGTGATATTGCACTGTATTTGTGAGTCACCGAAACTATAAGTTTAACAATATAGTACTACGCCGCAATCTATCTGAGCGTTAAGTTTGTTTATCCCGCATGTACAGCAAAGTATAGTACTGATATACAGTAATCTCTGCTATCATGAACGCAATAACTAATTTTACACAATGAAGACTGAAATATTATCATTTTAAATTCAATCGAGATTGCCTCAGAAGACAGCACACGTGATGGTGTAAAGTAGTCTCGAGATGAATTAAACATTATTTGAAGGGAAATTAATAACACAAACTCTGATTTTCTGATTCTGCATTGCTTTTACATTTACTTGTGTGTATATAGCGCTACATTTACTTGTGTGTATATAGCACTACATTTACTTGTGTGTATGTAGCGCTACATTTACTTGTGTGTATATAGCACTACATTTACTTGTGTGTATGTAGCACTACATTTACTTGTGTGTATATAGCACTACATTTACTTGTGTGTATGTAGCGCTACATTTACTTGTGTGTATATAGCGCTACATTTACTTGTGTGTGTAGCGCTACATTTACTTGTGTGTGTAGCGCTACATTTACTTGTGTGTATATAGCGCTACATTTACTTGTGTGTATGTAGCACCACATTTACTTGTGTGTGTGTAGCACTACATTTACTTGTGTGTGTAGCGCTACATTTACTTGTGTGTATGTAGCGCTACATTTACTTGTGTGTATATAGCGCTACATTTACTTGTGTGTGTAGCGCTACATTTACTTGTGTGTATATAGCACTACATTTACTTGTGTGTATATAGCACTACATTTACTTGTGTGTATATAGCGCTACATTTACTTGTGTGTGTAGCGCTACATTTACTTGTGTGTGTAGCACTACATTTACCTGTGTGTGTGTAGCGCTACATTTACTTGTGTGTATGTAGCGCTACATTTACTTGTGTGTATGAAGCACTACATTTACTTGTGTATATGTAGCGCTACATTTACTTGTGTGTATGTAGCGCTACATTTAGTTGTGTGTATGTAGCGCTACATTTACTTGTGTGTATGTAGCACTACATTTACTTGTGTGTATGTAGCACTACATTTACTTGTGTGTGTGTAGCGCTACATTTACTTGTGTGTATGTAGCGCTACATTTACTTGTGTGTATGAAGCACTACATTTACTTGTGTATATGTAGCGCTACATTTACTTGTGTGTATGTAGCGCTACATTTAGTTGTGTGTATGTAGCGCTACATTTGCTTGTGTGTATGTAGCACTACATTTACTTGTGTGTATGTAGCGCTACGCTTACTTGTGTGTATGTAGCGCTACATTTACTTGTGAGTATGTAGCACTACATTTACTTGTGTGTATGTAGCGCTACATTTACTTGTGTGTATGTAGCACTACATTTACTTGTGTGTGTAGCACTACATTTACTTGTGTGTATGTAGCGCTACATTTACTTGTGTGTATGCAGCGCTACGTTTACTTGTGTGTATGTAGCACTACATTTACTTGTGTGTATGTAGCACTACATTTAGTTGTGTGTATGTAGCACTATATATACTTGTGTATATGTAGCGCTACATTTACGTGTGTATGTAGTGCTACATTTACTTGTGTGCATGTAATGCTACATGTACTTGTGTGTATGTAGCGCTTCATTTACTTGTGTGTATGTAGTGCTACATTTACTTGTGTATATAGTGCTACATTTACTTGTGTGTGTGTAATGCTACATTTACCTGTGTATGTAGCGCTATATTTACTTGTGTGTATGTAGCGCTGTATTTACTTGTGTGTATGTAGCACTACATTTACCTGTGTATGTAGCACTACATTTACCTGTGTATGTAGCACTACACTTACTTGTGTATGTAGCGCTACATTTACTTGTGTGTATTTAATGTTACATGTACTTGTGTGTATGTAATGCTACATTTACTTGTGTGTATGTAGTGCTACATTTACAAATATCAAAATACCTTCAGTAATCCCATCTGGACATTTCCAAGAATTTCACGTATTTCACTTTTTATATAAAAAAAATTGGGGTTTTTTGGTCATCTTTATACGTTACCTGTTGCTTATTTCGCATCATCTGTGTATAATGCAAACACCGTCGCGAGTTCATGTTTACATGACATTGCGCGAGACTGGCAAACATCTCCGCGCAGAGGCTCTGATTGGTCAATATTTAACCTTAATTGGTTCACACGAGAGACCGACTTGGACCTTATTTCTAATTTTAATTGTCATATTCACCGCACAAAGTAGCCCACGTCATTCACACAGATATTTTATACGGTTGAACCTCCACATTTGACACTAGTTACATGAATCTCTCCATTTGTTCAGCTATCTTCTCGACCGAAATCTGATCCTGTAATGACTTGGTGATGTGTTTATATAATATGCTCTTCTGAACTACATGACAAGTCTATGACAATATCCACTGCTATTTCGGACAAGTTGTATTTGCAGCATCGATATGCTTTAACTAAACGCGGGTCTCATGCCATACCGATTGCGTGGGTAGACACGGCGAATTGGCCTAATTGCACTGAAATGTAAAGAGTAAACATTTCCTGCCACAAACAACTTGTACAACACGACTTGTGTACTTGTATTTTTTCTGCCGCCCTCTACCCATTTGAAACGCCTCCGTGCTGTAATACATGGATCGTCTGCCCGGAGAACGGAGTGTCAGTGGTTCGATCCTAAGGGCGCGGAATACCAAACGACTTTAAAATATTCTAATTGTTGGAACCCTGCCTGGTGCTCAGCATTAAGGGGATGAAATAGGACATGTTGGCTCGGAGTCCGTAGTTTGAGTTTCAGTAGAGAATGGTATCTCAGTGGACAAGCAATACGAATCTCGCCACACACACACGCGTCCATGCGCGTCGTTGTAGGGGTGCAAGAATCTTGAACTCACCTCAATTTGGCATCTGCACATGGTGCACGTTGGTGTGCAGTTATAGCAAAGACATACTCCTTGATCCATATGAGGTCATGTCGCTGTGCTGGTTTAGTGAATCAAGGATATACTCGACTCGATCATCGGACTCGGAAGAGAGAGTAATTAACCCCAGAACCCCAATGACAATGACATTAACGTCAGTACGGCGATGTCCTATTAACACTTCACACCAGGGTCCAAACTTGCACAAGACAAAGCTGTAACAGCAAGCGAGTCAGTGGATCGCTAACGTGGATCTGTAGGGAACACTATAGCCATAGCCCGTGAAGATGTGACAACAGTTTATTGACTAAATAAAAATGATCACCGTAAAAGATCAATCTAAATACCACGGGTTAAATACAAAGTCTTCAGCATCCCCCGGCTTTCGTAATGTGCAACTAACGAGAACGGATAGAAGGGTCACTGACATGGTGGATGTATTGTTATGTTACCGCAGTTGGGTACCACGGATGATGATGATGATGATCCCCCGGATGATGTGCACACGCCACCGGATTAAAGGACGACCGATTAAAGTTGTCGCGCCCAGACTCGATGATATGATGTCACGGGCACGCGTTCATAGGACAACGATGGAAGATGATATGCCCAGAACAAACTAGACAGATAAAAGTCAAATACATGTAATATGGTTATATATAATGATAACAATATTATATTTCAGCATTTTCACAATTCATGATACAGGCCAACTTCCTGACGTTGTTTCTGAGGATTGTTTTATGAATATGATTTACATTAAAAGTGATGTCTCTTTCAGGGAACCAAGTAACCGCTGAGGCTTTCCAGTTCCTGGACAACTACATAGATGACGAGGGGGTGGAGAGCCCACCTGTCTCCCCCGGGCCAAGAGAAGATTTCGCAGGTTAGTTGTGCCCCGCCCGTTACCAAACACTAAAGTTAATGGGAGTGTCTGCTACAGTCTGATTGGTTGAAAAACGTTGTTTAATCGGATCGGATACCGAAAATCATCTGGGCATTTCACATTAGTCATTCACACGTTTGAAAAATATGTACCAGCACGACTCTAATTCATGGTTTCTCCACAACCTTTCAACCACTCTATTTATCATTGTCCTAATTATTCTTCATTGGGTTCACATATCAGGGTAGCAAATGCTCCCATCCACTGTATCTTTGTCCGTCCAGTGTGAAATTTCCAGGCAACACATTCGCAAAACTGACGTCATACCAACGCGTTCCCATACATTGGGTTACATACGAAAATCGTAAATGGTGGTTATTTGCTGAACTTCAGGTGAAATCATGGAATACAAATTGTAATACTGGGATGGGAAAACCACGGTAGGAGTGTATGGAATTACAGGGCTTAAAGATTAACCACAGGCATAAAACCATAATTTGAATGTTTGTCTGAACATATAAACCCTCAGGTAAGATACACATGATTATATATGAGACTTAAATAAAACCTGTCTGTTATATTCCGTGGTTTCTCAAGGGAAAATGATGCCCTCCCATTAACCGATTTCCAATTACGGTATGGTCGGTTGTCTTGCCAAGCACCTCTTCACATCACCATCCTCCTCTTTGTACATTGTATTCAGGATACTTGTTCTACATCCTCTGTTAACATAGGAGTGCGCAGCTGTATCATTAGCCAATAACATTTCACACCCCGCTGCCCTGTGAAGGCATTATGGGTAGATTTGCCCCCTCCCCCAAGTGGAAGTATGCCAAGCATCTGGCTTGTGACCCAATAAACCACAGATACGCGTTTCGTGAGAGTTTACATACTGTGTGAATAAGCAGGGTAGAAGGTGTTCAACCGAACCGACAAATCTATTATGAATAGATTACCTTTCATGTGTGTAATGTAGAAACTTTTGTATATTAAATTATTTAACGTTTCAAAGCTGAAGTGTTATTTGAATAAAGTGAAGGTTTTTCAGGAATATCTTCTATTATCGGTACAATGAATACAAGCACAACAGTGTGGATGTAGCTGAAAAGAACATCTGTTCTGTGTACCAGTCACCAGACTCTGTGTAACTGTACCTCCTTTTGACTGATAGTCTGATATTTGACAGATTTTTTTAACGAGTCAACGCTGTATACATAAAATATTGTAAGTGTTATTTTGTCAAAGATTCAGAAAGAAAGGTGTCATGCTTTTTTAATATTTTTGAAAGTGTGTTCTAGCACTAAATCAAACATCTTTCTGCAGAAGACAGATTTCCATGAAACTTCAAAGAACAAAATCTGTGATTTACTACTTGGCAATACTGATTTGTAGTCACCTTCAAGCAAATGCGTGATCCACCGACCCTGTCCTATTTTGTCAACATTTCCCAGCAACCTCCTGTCGGCCTCCCTGGGTGAGGGCTGAACAAGCCCCACTATAAATCTATCATCTGTCCTGTACGGGGTAGCTCTCGTCGACAAACCTAACCCCACAAATCATTCCCTGAAACAAAAGTCAGACTTTATCTCGACCCGCAGTGATTACACCTGGCCCTGGCAAACGACTGGTCATGACGTTCATCGTCAGCCTTTCGCCACGCAACACGGCGTGTTGGTCACAAACTTACATCCATGTTGATTATCTGTTCAGAGCAATCATTTTTGCCCATTTCTAATTATTTCGTTCCTTCCCCATAATACTTAAGGTATTCCTACAATAGGTTATTGTAAATTCGAGCCATCTAATTTCGTATGGATAACGAAATGTCAATACCATGGACAGGTCAGAATGTGTTTTGGTGCGCTACGTGAGAATAGGTTCGGCGTACGGAGGGTCTTCCTTGAATATAATTGATATATTGTGAACTGTGAATTGAGACGGTATTTCAGTCACAGTGATGTACGTGCTATGTGTATGGGTACATGCATTCCGTCACCCTACACGCTTGTCAGGGGTCAGGGACAATGGGATCGCTAGCCCACTGCTCCTCCCTGCACAGACAGAAAGGGTGAAGCCTTGGTATATGTTCTCCATACAGGTACACAAGAACGACTTATTTACATTGAAGCCACTGCCTACATACGACCTACGGGTTTTCCTCGGGTTTGAATGATTGAATAACATCGTGATTTAAGGTCGATTTAAATCGCGCAGCTTTATTACATAGTGCCCGACTTCTTTTCATGTAAGTCACGATATATAACAGCTTGGGGGAATTTGGAAAATGTCGTTCCACTCCCAAGATTATAAGAGCGGATGTACAATTTAATAAACAGGCTGACAGCTGACAAACCATGAGTGATTATTGTCTGTCTCTGTGGTATAATAAGCGTATTTTTCACGAAATTATTCATAAACATTAAATATATATTCCCTTTGATAAATAAAATAATATTACAATGAAATATATTGTAGTCATGCTCATTGCATTTCATTCAGTATTGTTAAAATCCAGTGGGACCTTCCACCAATTGTTGCCATTTAACATTTAAACGTCAGGAAACACCCAACTACACTCCTTGTTGACTTGTCTCAAGCCCGCGCCTTCTCGACAATGATCAGACAATATTATCCGCATATTTCGCACTTCCTTTTTTCAAAATTATTCGATTCTGCCATCCTAGTTCCTATCTTGTCAATACATTCATTCTTCAGGGAAGCACACTGTTTATTCATGAGATCCCTAATTTACAGAAATATTCCTTGACATGTGTGAATGTGTGGTCAGGATTCACCAGAACACAGACTTGGGGAAACAACACCAAGATTCTGCCATCATTCCGCGGGTCAGGGCGTCTGATTTTGCTCTGTATATCAATCAATGTCCTGACGCGGTATTCGTTGTCCGAAATCCAGACTTGTTTACCGCGTCAGTGACAACAGCACGACATCAAAGAGTGTAAACAGATCATTCGGGCCTGACCAGCTACATGTAGAGATCCACCTCTTAGATCAGTAAGGGGCCGTTCATAATTTATGGCAAGGCGGTGATGATGATTTTTATACAGAAGCATGTACAATGTGAATAACTCATCCCCCCCGCATATCATGTACAAAACCAATGACCCCTCCCTTTCCCATAATTTTTAAGTATAATTTTTCAATAAATTTATATTTACATGTGTACAAAATTGATGACCCCCTACCTCCCAGAACAAAATGGGTGCCCCCCCCCAACACTCAAAATCAACTAGCCATAAATAATGAACGGTCCCTAATAACCTCATCTGCAACAAATATGCGTTTTGTTACCATGACAACGGATTAGAAATATTCATTAAACTGTTAGATGTAAATTTATGCTGATAATGAAAACAGATATGTGATGGCGTTTGTATCATACCCGGCATGCGCATTACGGCCTAGGGCTGTCACAGTAAACATGTGTTGTATGTTGCAGGTTATTAAGCCCTTCGGTGATCCAGCAGCACGGAATGGTGCAAGGCAGCTGTTGCCGATACCACATGACCCACATCTATAAATGATGTTGTCACCAGGAAAGGTGTCCCGTTACAGGTATAACATGGTTGCCTAGCAACAGGGAGAGAACGGAATTGATTGGCTGTTTCTGGTCCCGGCACTGGATGGTGACATGGCTCTTCAAAGATAACATGTTCCAGAGATTGAAACCAGCGGAAATATGAAGACGAAACCAACGTACCACATGTGGCTTCCTGTTGGACTGCTTAGGTTCTGTGCGGAGTTCTCTTACTTTCTAGGAAGGAATAAAAATACATTAACAATGACAGATTGGAATGTGTGGAGGAAAATGTGTGAGTTCACATATATAAATAATAAATCTAACAGAATAGTTAATTAATTCTTTATTCAAAATAGTACATCGTGAAAGTAAGATTGTCCGTCTCTTTAATAATCAGTTAAGTCCATTATTCAGCTAGAGCCATGTGCGTGCTACAACGATCACGTCTACCCACACGACGGTCGTCACAGGAGAGACACCACCACCACCACCACCTCCTACCTACACGTGGTATAGCAGTCTTCAGTACACAGTTACCAAAGTGAGAAGTTCCTATTTTCGAAATAGAACGATGTTAGGTAGCTGTGGTGGAGATAGTGACGTGAAAGATGTACGACCACTGCTTGTGTGTATCTGTATGGAGAGATGTAAGTTCATTGTATTAGAGGGCACTGTTCCAATCCCGTCACAATCAAAAGTAGTTATCAAAAAGTCAGCCCGTTGATTTAGTGCGGTTTGTAAACTGAACGACGTTCTTTTGGAACGGCCATACTTATTAATATAGAGTTTGACAAGAATAATATATGTCATGTATATGTATCCACGCACGAAGTTATTTATCACATTCATATAGTAATTGTTATATTTGACTGTAGTCAAACAGAGATGGTATTATTTTAAATTGTGTGTACATTGACGTTTTTGCTATTTACCTGGATGATCAAACACTACAGTTTGCTGATATGATGGATGAATTCACAACATCGGAATGCGACTTCCTTCCCCGAAAAGACGAATTTCATTACCCTTAAGGTTAAAGAAATGACGTTGACTTGATAACAATCCCAAAGTCTATTTTTGAAGAAAACGTGATGTCTTCCATTGTTGCTGGTTACGTTTGTTTAATCTGTTTATCAACTCAGTGTTGCATAATTACTCAAATTAGCTGTTAGTTGATGCATATGTACATTTCCATTGGATAACTGTACCTACGATGTAAATTTATGAACCAATCTAGGGCACGTGTCCTATCTATATATCCGGGTTTTACAACCCATTTGACCGATAACTGTTATCCCTGTTTATCTGCTGTTCAGCACACTATATATGTATCAGCAGTCTCAGATGACCCAATACAGGAACAATATACGTTAATGTGCAATAGTGCTAAAATAACAAATGATTCTGATAATGCTAACAGTGACAAAGGTACGTAGACGTATGTTGCCCAACAAAGGGGCTGTATACACGGCCTATATCACTGTTTCGCCATGCAGAGTTGCGCCCCTTGTTGTACCATGATGCACTGGGCCTAAATTTTCGAAGCCCTCTTAGCGCTAAGACAGTCGGAAGTTAATGTTAATGTATGGCGCTTACGACTATCTTAGCGCTAAGAGAGCTTCGAAAATCTAGGCCCTGGTGTCTTAACGTTCGTGTCCTTGTTCAGTGGGGCGCCATGTTCACATGGGTTTCACCAAATTAGCCACGATCCACGATCTAGTGTAACGGAGATATGGTTCAAAGATGTCTTCTTGAAAGAATGCATTCCGTAAACTGTACGTACACATGTCATTGTCAAATATAGTTTCAGTACGTCCATGGCACAAGAATCCCATACTATATATTCTAACATATGAAAAACGCGTGTACCTTAGATCTGATCTGACTGACAATGCATTGTACACAGTCTATTGAACTAGGCTGTATTGACAACTAGTCCTTCCCCTAGCACATGTATCTTATATACAACACTATAATGTACAGTGTGGATGGTGTTCGTCAGCTGCAGACCCAGCTGTCTATATATCTAGGGCATACATCTGTGTCAATCGTTGCATGTACATAGGTCTCCACTGAGATTATAACTTCCATTCCCAGCATTTAATCAAAGTATTCTGGTTGTCCTCGGGTACATCATTATCACATATACCCGAAATCGACATTTTTTCTATTATTTTGTAATATCATGAAATAAACCATTGCGATCGAAAAGATATTTGTGTTGTTTGTGTTGGTTTTGGAAAGGAGGAAGACCAATCAGGGTTCAAAGCAAACTTTATGTGTGTTTGTCACATGCATGGCCTTAGCCGAGAGCGCTGACGACATGATACGGAGTTGAACGACACTAATAACACACGTGGTGAGTTAAACTCACCTCCTATCACGAATTAGTTAAATATAACCTCCTATAAGAAATTAGTTTGGGTTTTAGAACATATAACGTATCATTTCGGAACACAGTGACTGTGTAAACACATTGGCCTACATTGACAGCGATTTACTCCAAATGATCAAGATTACGTACTTACGTACTTATATCCGGACTCGTAAAACGGAGATTTAAAGTCCATGTACAAAATGACAGTACAACAAATGACATCTGTTAGTTATCTCAATATTTTTTAAAAGGTGTGTGTGTGTGTGTGTGTGTGTGTGCGTGCGTGTGTGCGTGTGTGTGTGTATTACATATAACCATTACACCATGACAACGACTACAACACGATAAGAATCTGAGGATTATAGTATTTGCATGATGATGCTATAGGCCTCAGTATATAAGCTAACGCACCACAACGAAATGTGTACTTCCAAAAAATGCATGAGCATTTCCTGAAAGAAAATACCTCTCATCACCACTGAACTGTGTCTTTTGAATGTGTTGACTTGGTATTGTCGGAGCGCTTGGAACGCTTTCACTCATTCTCAATAAAAACACGCATTTGACGATAGAAAAGGCCGAAAAATAAACTTAATATTTAAGAAATACAGTTCGCTCTACCACCATGTATCATGATATCAAGGATGTATTGTTATATTTTTTATTACTGTGAATGTCTTTACAAACGAAGACGATAACCAGATCTACAATTTCTGATATGCATGCAACAGTATGGCGATCATGACATTTAGTAAACATTGATATTTTCACACAAATACATTAATCCGACATTCTCGGTAATCCGACATATTTCTCTGCAACCACAAGTGTCGGATTAACGAGAGCTGACTGTATAGTGAAATAAAGCACACTTTCGCCCTGAATATTATTGTTGAAGCACGATACTCTTGTTTGTTACAATTCACCTGACAAAGAGGCAAGGAATAGCCCAGAAACGTTGTGACATACAATAACGAAGAAGTTGTCATCAATAAAATTTGCGTTTTACAGAAAATTAAAGATAAACAGTTTGATGACGGTTTACGTGCGGGTTAAATATCTTCTCTAAGTTATTTTATTGACAACTGTGATTAACGTAAACCATATGGGGCAATATGAACGTCGCATTTCTACTACCAACGTCAGTTTAGATCAGTACATCCAGATGAAGCTGACTAGTCACGCGACATTCCACGGATGCATTGTTAGAATGTTGCCGTGTCGCTGTTTAATTGTGAGTCGAACTGAGACATTATATCCGTCTAAAAATATAAACGTAATGTTTCCACCAGTGAAACAATGAAACGGGGTGCTACGGAGTAGTTTACTGTAGGAGGCTGTACGAGGCGATGACAACTGACATGTTACCAAAGGTACGTTCGATTACGAGGGGGCAGACTAGAATGGCGCAGTGACGCCAAGACATTGTGACGTAATGCAATACAAGTGTACATTATCGTCTGATAAAGTACTGTCGATGCCTTTGATCTTTCACTGAAGCATCTTAGAAATATTCATTATAACTATAAGATTACTTCAGAGTGGAGTATTAGGTACATATAATGCAGCAAGAGTTGTCACATAATCTGTGTCACAAAGTTTAGTGTGATGTTCACTGCAACAAATGTCTGTAGACAAGAACATTTCAAGAAGTCGATCTTTAAACGATAAACAACACATCTTTTTCAAAATGAAGTATCCAAATTGTTTCGGGTTGTTTTATGTCCCATGAACATATATACAGGAAATGTAACGTACATGATTGCCTTTCTAGTTCAGTTCTCGAACAAATACTGAGTATTTCTCTTCAACATATTCATGAAAATTAAGAGAGAGTGAAAATTATTAAGGATAGAAATCGTTTCAAGCATCCTTTATTTTCCAATCTGTAAAATTACAGTTTTCTCACAATTTCAATTTCTAACACCCATGTTTGGTTTCGCAACCAAACATAGTTTAAGGCCCTCTCACACCTTGACGATTTAGCCAGCGTATGCCGACGTATGAAAAATTTGGCGAATACGCTGACGTACGTCGAATAGGTTATGGGTCAGTTTTGTATGAATTAAATGCACGCTGAAGCACGAATTCGAAGCCAACGTATGATTCATACGTCCTGCATACGCGGGTCATACGTTGTAGGTAAGTTTTGCGATCGTTGACACACGTTCACACACGTTACTTGTAAGTCACTCACCAGTCGAAATACGTCGACATAATGCCCTGGCGTACCCAAAACATATAAGTAACGTGCTTTGAACGTATGTGTAACTTTGATCAACACATCTCGAACGCATATTGACGTATGTAAACGTATTGGGCGTGTTCCGGACGACAATAGAACTTACTGAACGTGTTTCTAATTTATAGCTACCATATGATGGCGTATTGCAGGCGTTCTGCGAGGTTTTCTTCGGCATGATGATGATGTTGATACGGTGATGTGGGTACTGTGACAGTGATGTTGATACTGCAATGTCTAGTGGGTTATGATTTGAATCGTCAAGCGGCAGGCTTTTCATAGGCTACGACACGTGATCGTCGGCGATACGCTGCCGCGCGCTGTGCGTAAGTTCGACTATCGTTGGGCACAGGTTGTGAACGCCGGCAAGACGCTTAGCATTCGTTGGAATAAATAATCTGTAAGGTATCGAAACGTTCTATATAAGTTACTTATACGCTATGTAAACGTCCAGCTCGTTATGAATACGCTATGTATACGCCCGTCACTGAAGAAACATGTATACATGTAGTTCAGTGTATGTCA